GTTTATTTCCTCATAGACTCAGTGCCTTTTGTCTTTCGTTTCAGCTTTCAAACTTCTACCTTGGTCTACACATACTGTGTAAGTAATGAAATTTCTTTACGGAGGAATAACGGCATAAAATGTTCTGCAATGTTTTCTATGTTTTTCTCTTCGTGATGGACGTGGTTTTTCATTTAGGTGTTTCTTGGATAGCTTGTAGCTATGCTCAGATTCTTAATTCAGGCAAATAACTTCTCTCTAGAACAGAAACCCAAATAATGTCTTCATTATGTTCAGGATTAGTTAAATGAAGAAATCTGGTAACTTCTGAAAGAGAAAACTGACAGATGTTTGGGAATAACAAGACCAGTGGAGAAGAGAGACTAACCTAAATGAGCAACTGATGAGACAGACGGGGCTACTGATCGTAGGGAAGACGAGGCTCAGAAACAGACACAGCAGAGACACAGGCAGAGACGGGTGGTGCCTCTGCGTTTCTCCTACCCTCTCACTGCAGGACTCTGGGCTGAGTATGGCTGTATTCCTCTGAATAAGAAGAGGGTTTTACACAGCAGATTCTTCCAAATGCCTCTTGAATAAATGATTAAATGGAAGTTTTATACTTTCACTCAGTTTAGGCCTTAAGATAATGACACGAAAATTAAATGATCCAAAAAGGACCATGTTTGAAAACAGTGAAAAAATTTTCATCACATACCCAGAAAATAGGCTATCAGCCAAAATCATATAGCAGAATTAAAAATGGCACTGAACCAATTTTATGGTAATTTATTGTCAGATGCAAGCAAGACCAGTTTTGTGTGGGAACAGTAAATCATTAATATTTAGCCCTCACTAGATTTAGTTTTTATTAATAATCTTAGGAAAATTTAAGTGAAACAGTCCTGTTTTTGTCTTCAGCAAACCAGTAATTCTTACGCATATCTAATTCTTATCTTCTGTGCAGATTGGCTATAATTTGGTGATGAATGTTATTATATTCATTAAAGTTTTCTTAAACACATGCTTTGCTGGAAAGTGAAGAAAAACGTCTCCCCATGTAGACTGTTGCTTAAAGACTAGAAGCATCTCTCCTATTATCATTTGAAATGTACAGGGCTGGTAACATATGTATCATTTTGATGATGCTTTTCACTGT